TCTAGATCTGGAGTCTGAAATTGAACTTCGTTCAATTTCCAAAGTCTAGTTATTATTAAATTTATTTCAATAGAATACAAAAAATGTAAATACAGACATGTAAATTCTTAAATCGCCACAATGGCATTATATAAGAATAGGGGGCAGGTGGAAGTAAATATCTGTTATTAGTTTACTCCCATCCTTAATTGTAAGAACGTCCAGACCAAGAACGGTATTTGAGTGTAACTTTCTTCCTTCGTGAATTTTATATTTGAGTTTATCGCATTTAGAGTGTTAAGAATTAAGAATATAGAGTGTTCTATAAATAATTGCTGTGTCTAATGTTGTTTTAGAGTAGTAAGTTACCAATTTCACCACCAGGTGGCTCGTTCGGGTCAGATAACATGGTAGGTATCGTAGAAAGTTCCCTTTAACTTAAATTACATCTGTTTTAGTGGTTAGGTTTTCATATAACCCTTATGTATCAAATAGTTATAAACATTAAAGTATGTCTACTAAAGCAAAATGCTATCTGTCCAATACAAGAAAAGATATTTCACTTTTCTGATTTTGTAACACGGGGTCTATGGGGAATCTACCCGAACTAGAAGTCACATTTTCGAAACGAATTTAACTTTTAAAGTTGATAAACAATTTTCGAAACCATATTTCAAGAAGTACTTTCACATGTAGATTTCAAATATGACATCAATTTGACTGAATTTTGAATATTTAATGAAGTAAATAAAGATTATTTCTACTCGCATCATCTTGTCTATTGTTTGAATAGAATAATACATAAAGGCATTTTCATCTGTATCAAAGGGTTAAAATAGTACAAAAGCATTAAATCTGTAGTCTAGAAATTATCAAAATGTACAGGGTGTCAAAAAACAACAGCACCCCCCTCTACAGCAAAAAGTCCTTAATGTTCCATATCGTGTCATACCTCATTTAAAAGATAATCTAATTCTGGAGTTACTCCAAATTTCATCCAATAAAACTTAATATTAAATGATGCAATTAATGAAATAATTGGTGATTATTTTACAAGAGTTCACAATATTACCAAAGAGTTGTTAAACAAAACTGATGTGAAATCATTTTATGCTGTTTAGTAAAGTACTTAGTGATTGTTAAAATTAGATTGTAAGAATTGTTTTGCCATGCATGTGCATGAATGTTTTATTTGTTATTTGCTTTATTGGACCTATCTCGATGTACATTACATGTTCAAGAGACCAATAAACTTATTAATAATATTATTAAAAAGGTACATTGTTTCAAAGTTTGCTACTTCGGTACTTTGTTTGCTGCTCTGTTACTGGTTAAAAGTCAAATCGTCAGAAAGTGAAATATGAAAGAATTACCCCAGATTTCAACTGCACTGACCATATGGGTTCATTTCTGAAAACAGGGTATAGGAGCCTCTTGAAAAAAGACACAGTAAGGGTGTATTTCTGAAGAATGTGAGGAAAGTGCGAAGAGGATTATGCAATGCTACACCTTCATGTGAATTTTTATTGAAATCATATCCGTCCAGATAAGCTGCTGTTTGAGCAGCAACTAGTGGTCATACCAACTACTAAGAATCAGCTATAAATCTGTAATATTATATGATATAAAGCTGAAATTTCTCAGGTAACTCCAGAATTAAATTGTGTTTAAAATGAGATATGACACACCATGTAACATTAAGTACTTTTTGCTGTAGAGGGAGGTGCCGTTGTTTTTTGACACCCTGTATATATGCAACATTGTAAATGAAGCTTAATGGACATTGGATGTTTACAACTGAATACAATTATTTTAATAAAATAGTACATGAAAACAATTTCATCCATATTAGTGCTTAAAGGGTTAAAATACTAAAGAAGCAAAAAATCAGTGGTCTAGAAAAGATAAAATCTACATGTGCAACATTGTGAAGATAAATGAACATTGGACAACTGAATACATTTGTCTGAATAGCTAGAATAAAAAATACATGACAATTTTTATCAGAATTATAGTTCAAGGGGTTAAAATTGTACAGGAGCAAAAAATCCGTACTCTAGAAATTATAAAATGTTTATATGCAACAATGTAAATGAAGCTTAATAGACATTGGATGTTTACAACTCGAATATAATTGTCACAATAACACATGAATAATAACAATAACACATTTTTAAAAAAAATCAATGATTTTCGAAAAACAAATACCATGGCACTTTATCCTTTGTTAAATCAAGTTTATAATAAGATTAAAAAAGGGAATCAAAATCTTTTATTTTACCCATAGTACGTATAGATATGTAGATATGTAGTATAGCCCCGCTTTGTAACCAGGTTTTAGGATTCAAAGAGTTAATATCCCAGATGCGAGTAGAAATAATCTTGATTTACGACATTAAAAATTCACAATTCAGTCAAACTGATGTCATATTTGGAATGTACATGTAAAATTACATCTAGAAATGTGGTTTTGAAAAGAGTTTATCAACTTTGAAAATTTAATTTTCTTTGATAATGTGATTTCTAGGTCGGGGAGATTCCCCATAGACCCCATGTTGTAAAACCACAAAAAGTGAAATATCTTTTCTTGTGTTGGGCAGATAATATTTTCTTTTACTGGACATATTTTAATTTGTATAAGTATCAGAATCACAAGGGTAATATGAAAAGACAACCACTAAAACTGATGCATATTCAAGTTTAAGGGAATTTTGTAATACCCTGCCATGTTAATTCCCCCGAATCAGCCACCTGGTGGCGAAACTGGTAACTACCTACTCGCATCTGAGTAATTACTCAAAGCCTTTTTATTCACACACATGCCAAATAAATCAAAAGATCAGTCAGACATTTTTTTATCAATAATATGCATTCACCATTCCAATTGCCTGGAGAAAAGAACTTTAACAAAATATTTTGTCAAGCCACCCCTATGTCAAAAATGGAAAGAGGGCGCCACTATAATCACGCGGTACTAACTGACCGGGGCGTATCGAAACCAAAACGCCCCGCAAAACCGTTAATTTGAATTTCAAACCTACCCTTTCTTTGGACAATAAATGGTCTCACAGTACACCGTTTTTCTTCAAACTTGTTCCATTAAAACTTTCACAGAAATACCCTACACTAGTTTCCAGAGTCACTCGTTTTAGCGGCGTTTTTGGTCCCCAGATGCGAGAAGATGCAAATCTTCAGAGATTTCAACCAAAAGCCTCGATAAATCGCCAGTTCTTCTATTATTCTCCCCTATATTTTGCACAAGGACTCCGATTACAACCCTCCATCTCTGCATCAACATATTTATTACATTAAACGCAGCAATTTCCAAAAGTACTATGCATGTGTTCGAAATTGATCAAAACGCCCCATTCTCTTCCAAAACACCCTGGATCGGATCTATTCAGAATGAAACTACACGTTTGTAGTCATAGACTAAGTGGGGCGTTTTGGAAGACAACGGGGCGTTTTGGTCAATTTCGAACAGTTGCGTAGGACCTTTCGAAATTGCTGCGTTTCATGTAATAAATATGTTGATGCAGCGATGGAGGGTTGTAATGGGAGTCCTTGCGCAGAATATGGGGGAGAGTGCAGTAATAGAAGAACTGGCGAGATATCAAGGATTTTGGTTGAAATCTGTGAGGATTTGCATCTTCTCGCATCTGGGGACCAAAAACGCCGCTAAAACGAGTGACTCTTTTTATTAGAAATTCTTCACAATGCTGTTGCTCCATATTGATATGGATGTCAAAATACAGATTGACACTTGTGTGTAGATATTCAAATGAGCTATACAGTCATGCCATCTTAAATCGTCAATTTTTATTAATTACAGAGAAATATGCATGTAGGTTTACAGTTTTTTATAAAAATAATTTTTAATTTTTGTCCGCCGTGATGGAGCAGATTCACAGTTCACCTTTGCAACTGCTCCGTCATAGCGGGCAAACAATTAAATATTAATTTTTACAAAAAAAATAAAAAGACAAAATACACCAATATCTCATTAATACCTTCAGAGTTATGCTGAAATCATATGTAAATATTATAGTTTCACAATATCGTACCATTAAAAAGTTACACAAGAAATGGTACATTTTGGAGCATGATTCTCCTGTGCCATTTTCAATAGTTTTTCCTCCTAGCGTTATGGGTATTCAAACGAAAGTGAAAGTTACCCGCAAATGATATATCCATTGCATGTAATAAGTAATTTTCTTAGATAGAACGAAACATATGAGTTAAAAATAAATTGTGAAGTATTCTTAGTGTTTTAATGAAAATTAACATGCTCCGTCACAGAATATTGATGCGGCAAAAACCGAATAAGAACGAGACATTACATGTAAGTCCACTGTTCGTGGTTTTTGTATTCAAAAATTCGTCGATAAATGGATTCTGCTTGTGCCAAAAGTGGATTTGCATTTGATGCGTGTTCGTAAATAGATATGTCAATCGACTCTACGTCTCAGATCATACACACTCATTGGCTTGTGATATCAACCAAAACAAGGTGTGTATTAATGATTAACTTTCCTGTTATCTCAAAATCTGCTCGGAACTATACCATTAGATTACTATGGGCAATTCCTCTAAGAGAAAATTCCTGTGATTAAGCAAGGGGTACCATTTGCACAATTCGAGAACTTATTGGCATACATGAAACCTGTTTAAAACAGCATTAATATTATTCAAAAGTGATTGTAATAATGATTCCCAGTCCTCTGCAGTTTGAAAAATGAAAATACCTGGGTGTCAATCCATAGATAATCCTTGAAATGAGAAATATTTTTTCGGATTATATGGTGCAATATTATAGTCAATAAACTGTTTTAAAGTGTATTTATGTTTTTTAGATGAAATACACAAGCGAAATGCATGAAAAAGCTCCCCAGATTCATTCTACAAACAACTCGCGGTCCTTTGAACCATTACAAAAAAAATATTTGTCAAAGTGTGACGTTTTCGGAATCCCAATATAAGATGTTAAGTTATATATGAAAATTGGAATGTGAACTTTTCAGTGATGATTTGGAATGGAGGTTCTGGAGTACTCTTGACAGAATGCGATGTGCGGCACCCTGACATTACCATCAAAGTCGTGCACACCAGCCCCGCCCATACACCATGCTTAGAATCTTAGTTCCCAGAGATTGGTTGACTGGGGCATGAGATGGAATCACACCTGCCTCACCTGCTAAATCAAACATGCAGCATGCATAGGACTAGTCTCTAGTATCCCCTAAATGCCTTGAAGATGGAACAACGGGATATAGTATCGAACATATGTCTTTCAAGCACTGATATTATATGTACACTGCTCTTTTTAGAAATACAGTGAGACCAACAAAGCATCGCTTTAATTTTGGGATAGCTTTCTCAATTATGATGAGAATTTCATTAATTCTCTTCATTATTTAATAATGCTTATAATACAGCTTCATTTGTATGGCATAAAATTGACAATTACTCAGATGTGAGTATGTAGTTACCAATTTCGCCACCAGGTTGTTGATCCGGGGGAAATAACATGGGAGGGTATTACCAAATCCTATTCAACTTGAATATTCATCAGTTTAAGTGGTTGACTTTTCATATTACCCTTATGTATGTGAAAGTTATACAAATGAAAATATGTCCAGTAAAATAAAAGATTATCTACCCAACACAAGAAAAGATATTTCATTTATTGTGGTTTTACAACATGGAAAAGGATCCGTCGTACTAAGTCTCGTATATATATTAAAAAAACAGCTCATTCATCACCATTATGACATATAATATCAAAGATTCTCGTGTGCAAAATCATCATTTACAAAATTTTAAATGTTAAAATATGATAAAGAATGTTGTTAAGGACATTGTTGACCTTTACCTTTAATTTTCAAAAGGAGGTCAGACTTTAATTTTTTTGTTTTTATCATTTAATTTGGTTCCATTGATTTAGCATGTGGATATCATCATTTATCCCATACTTGGACGTGTTACAGGTACATAAAGCCGGTTTGTAAAAACTAATTATATTTTCATCAGCGGGCAGATATAGCTTTACGTCCGGCTCCGAGCGGGCAGATATAGTATATCTGCCCGCTACGTCATAATCGCCGCTCGTATATTTGTTCATAATTTGTAACGTTCGCGTAATGACTGTAAACGACAATGGAGAAAACACAGACAATCGGGATCTGTTTGATGGTTTAAAAAAAGGAAGGAGCATCCACTTAAAACATTCGAGAAAATAGATGTGGGAATATTTGAGAGAACAGAAAAATCCGCTCACGGCCAAGAAAACAAAACTGGACATGAATATTCTAAAATATTTCCACGATTGAACAATGTGAACCAGATGACCAAGATTGGTATGGGATAAACATATTATCCTATAGTCGGTTCAGGATATTGGGATTATCCCTTGGTCAATATAATATATTTTCCCTCGGGACCTGCGGCCCTCGGGCAAATATATTATATTGGCCTCGGGGTAATCCCAATATCCTGAACCTCATATAGGATAATCTCTATGTATCAACTTGATGATATCCTGATGTTAAGTCAAAATGGCAACCGTAATCATGAGCTATATCTTGTTCAACTTCTGTTTTACGGGGCTTCCACAGGCCTAAGCCACACTAATTTCATCACTAAATTGTGCCCTTGGTAATACTGTTTATATTGAGGCATAAATACGATTGGCTTAGACCTGTGGAAGCAATGAACCATTCAAATATACATCAAGTATTGTCTGGGTCACATTTGCTCCGATCCATCGACCGGCACCCGGCCGGTTGAGTGTTTTGTTCAATATTGTATTCAATTTTGAGCAAAATACTCAATCGGCCTAGTGAAAATCGGAGCAAATGTGACCATAAGGCATAAGTAAAAAAACACACACACACAATGGTATACACAAAAAGCAGGTCATATTTGATTGCATCCGTTCAATATAAGATTAGAGTGCCTCCAAACTATGGCATACATAAATCTTGATATTGTTAAAATATTGAATGTGAATATATTCTTAAACCTCAGAAAAATGATAAATAAAAGAAAAGTACACAATTTTGACAAAGAAATTGTACACTCTTGGAATTGCCTGAAAACATATTCTTTAGTTAATTTTATTTCAAAGTAAGTATTGAATCGGTGAGTTTACACTATTACAGTACCTTAATTATTTCATAAGAATTTAACACATGTTCATACATTGGATTTACAAGGGCCGATCCAGAAGTCCTGATAAAATGCTCTAACTTAAAAGTTTATCCTTCAATTCGCATGTATTTTCAGAGTAACTGGGTCATTCATTTCCTCATAAATTGTAAAAATCTAAAATGTTGGTTACAAATATTTCTGAAGATATGGTTGCTATGGTAACCTCAATAACGCTATAACGGGACAGGGTAATATTTGTGAAGTTTAGATTTAGTTTTCTCTTGAATAAATGATCAAAATCCCAGTACAAGGTTGCTTAGTTCTACAAATGGCTGTTCTAATAGTAACTGCTGTTTATGTCATATTCTCATACGTGTGAAAGCATTGTAAATATTGTATTATACAGATAACATGCATGCCTCGTGATACAATAGACTAGACATGGGACAATAAAACTTTCAGGGATGAGATGTGTACAAAAAGTGGGTGATTTAAAAGACAAACCTGTATTCATAGTCAGAAAATAGTCTTAATCCAAGATATAACTGTCTGAAATTGTTTGCGATAACCTACCTGAACTTTTGGAACTTTGCATAGTTGCACCTGAACGGTGTATTGTTAAGTTTGCTTGCTCATTTTTAGAAAATGTGATGACATCATTCATAAAATATATTCGACCCGATATTCCATTTCATGTAAAATGCAAATGCGATTTGCTTGTATATTGTTGTAAATATAATATTTATTGTAAGTATTGTAAATATTGAAATGCAATTGTATAATTTAATAGAGCTTTAATTATGTATAAATTACAATCTTATATTTTTGTTTCATTTTTATCCCACCTCGATCTAATTCTAATATATTAAGACATGTAAGCCATACTAGTATACTATTTGATGAAGATGAAGCTAAATACATATAATGCTATGAACTGTTGATTGTTCTACCCTCTATAGTCGTTCCAAAAGGTAAGTGGAGTGTAAATATGCTTCTAAGATCAACGTTCACGGGACTTATAAAATATGTGAAAATTCGAATGAAAATGTTTACGTTTTTTGACCCCTTGTGATGAGAGGCATATCTGAACCCCAAAACTCGAAGTTTTTTTTAGCAAATGGTGATTTAAAAAAAGCAAGACGTATCGACATCCTGAAACATTGGTTCTAATGTTGCTTCCCCATATTGTGCTACGGATATTTTATATTCTAGATATGAACTACAAGTATATCATATGCCATGTATGCCAAATATCACGATCGATATGGTCGAAATATCAGAGCCAAAGTTTCCACGAAAAATAACGAAATGACACTAACTCTTCCATTTTGAAAGAGAAGGTAGCAGTCGTTATCTTCTGCTGATTCTGAGAAGCGATTATGCGGAAAGTCAACTTCAAAAACGTCACTTTATAACGCGACCAACGTAGGTAATCTGTGTGAACATTAATAGTAGGAGATGTGTTAATTAAGCACTGTATGAGATGTGCTAATTAAGCATACCATACAATTTCCGAGTGAAGCCATTCCATGAATGTGGGCTTAATGAGAGATCCAAATAGTTTGCTAATTCTTATCATGAGTACCAAATTACCAAAAGACGATATAATATCATTATTATATGCTTATATATTCAACATTTCTCCAAACTCCAAAATCCACGAAATCTTTTATCAAATCTTTACTCAAATGGAAATAAATAATTGTTCGAGGAACGAAACGTAAAGAGGCTTTAACACATAGTTCAATGGGGAAAAAAGGTTGCCAAACTTATGGAGGGGAGTGTATATGTAATTTGAAGAACGTAGTTTTATTTTCTTTATTTTTGTTTTAAATCAATTTTGAATGACACTGCATACATTATCTCAAATATCGACCAATGTTTTTTTATGTATACGTTAATAATTTTACCATTTTATAGTTTATTGTTGGATGTATGTTTTGCCCTATAATCAGTACATATAAATACTTTTAAAACCATTCCTGACTCATTCTTTCGTGATATCATACTTGAAATTGAAAAATGAGTTTATTTTACTTTGTATTGCACTGGCATTTAAAATTTTCAAAATTTTGCGAAGGAAACTGGGTAAAATTACCTTTATTTAACTTTTCAATTAAGGTCCGAATATCATTCATTCACAGGGAGTCATGGCTGGCCGAATAATCATTAATTTTGCAAAGTGAGGCAAAATTCAGCTCGGACACAAGTTTTAAACATTGCAAAAGTCAGTACAAGGGGCATAGGGGCTATTGGAAGAAGGTGTGACTGGTGTGGCATAGACAGTAAAGTGTTCATACTCATACAAGAATACATCTATACCCCTCCAAATTGCCACCACTTCCTTGCACATAAAGATGCGCTCATCTGTCCACGTCATGCATGGTTCAGCCTTGAGTCAGCTGTGGGTTAAAGCAGAGAAAAGCAGCCCATGGGCAATTCTTTCTCGAGGTTTTGTAATATTTGGTGGAGAGATTGTGAGCACAGATCCTCCTGAGATAGCTCCAAAAGAAAAAGTCACAACAATTCAAGTCAGGGGAACTTCCATTGGCACTTAGCCCTTGCACTGATTTTTGCAATATCTAAAAACTTGGTCCAGAGCCGATTTTGACCCACTGTGCAAATGGAAGGATTTCTCACCCAACCATTACCACATGTGAATGAATGACATATCATGCATTGCAAAGAGGAGAGACGTGGCTTTATGGTACATTGAATGAAATTAATGTAGTCATCACTAGTTTTGTGATTTTATGAGGTAACTTACTTGTTGCGGTTTTTTGATACGCCCTGTATAGTATCGAGTCAAACTCAAAGACGCTATAGATCTTTGGAAATTACCAGTTTCGGCTAAAACCTTGTCTATGGTTCTGAACAGAGGAGAAAGTTACCAGAATTCTTAATAAAAACAGATGCACAGAGGTATACCCCTCTAGTTCTGGATCGTTGAAATAGCCTGAAGAACTTTCAGCAGATGGCGAAGAAGACAGTGGGGGTTTAATTGTCTACTTTAACATATAAAAGATGATTCAAAGATCTCCCAGGATAAATTACAAAACATAAATAAATATGAAATCGGGTACATGGATGTGCGGTGTATTCGACGGTTTAATACAGGATTTATTTAAGTATTTAAGCCCTGGACTCCTGGATTCGTGTCCTGAATCATTCCTTCAAAGTGTTCTTTGCATGGTGTTCTTTGCATGGTGTTCTTTGCATGACCGCACAGTGGGAATGCAAAGTTTAGGAAACAATGCCTGTGTGGAATGAATCAGCCACAATGCATGGAGTCTTGGGCTTAAATTCGATTTAAGTCAATCCGAACATTATTTAATCAATAACCAACTCAAGGTCAT